TACCAAGGCTGAACCTGAGCCCTGCTCTTATCGCTAACTCACTGACTCATCATTGTCCAATGAAATAAACAAAAAGCAGCAGGCTTTATAACCAGTGAAGTCTTGTATGAAGGTGATTTATAAACAATATATTCCACAAGCAGATGACTTTCCGCCTGTCAATACATTTCCCGTTCATCAAGGCTCCTTAGACTGCACCTTCCAAACCCACAACCACTTTCATCTAGATGGACAAGATACATGGGAACACCATCTCCTGCAAGTTCCCTCCAAGACACTTACCATCCTGACCTGGAAATATGTCGCTGTTCCTTCAGCGTCACTCGGTCAAAATCCTGGAATTCCCTCCCTAATGACATTGTGGGTCAACCACAGCACATGGCCTGCAGCGGTTCAAGAAGGCAGCTCACCCCCACCTTCTCAAGGGGGCAACTCATCAGCACAACCGGCTTCACCTGGTGATGGTATTCCCGTGTATCTGCTGCTTGTGAAGGACTCACTGCCACAACAAGTCTGGAAAAACTCAATTCTACTGAAAGCAAACAATTATGGGTGAAAAGTTCAGTTATGAATGCAGAATGTATATATAACTTTGAACCTCAGTCCCATGTTGGTTTTGTAACTTGAACTCAGTATTCAGAATAAGATACCTCAGGAGACAAATTCTGTGAGTGAGGTAATGAGAAGTCTCTCAGTGGGAAGATTTCTGCCTGTATCTGTATCTACAACCCAATGCAGCAGTGAAACAAGTCTGTAACTCTACTGATTGGTCCCTCCAAACATGACCAGATTCTTACTCAATCAGTTTGCACCCATTATAATAATCCCCATTATTTACCTCCAACCTCCTCCCTCAATAGTCTCACAGCTCTGGAATTTGCATAAATATTGCCCACCAGATTCAAAATTACGTCTCCACTCCCTCGTTAACAACACCCCAAAATCGTCAACAGATTTGCTGAAGCCCATTTCGAATGTCCCAGCAAGGTTTCCAGCCTCCTCCAATTACACAAACAACTCTGTTTTTCCTCTCATTCCAGTCTCAACCATAACCTCTTTTCCAAGCTCACAGCAGCTTTCGCTAGCTCTGTTCAGCTGCACAGAGTCCTGTGCACAGTTGGAGTAGTGGAGTAGGGATCTATCACAGCCTGTCCACCACCTGAACTCGGGGTGTTTAATGCTGCACACACTCTGAATTCAGAACTGGGAGTCACATACTTGGGAGAATTTGAAACTTATTCTCTTGATCCGCCTCAAGCTCATCACTGGTTGCATTAATTAATTAACACATTCCAGACAAACAACGGCCTGACACAATTATACTGATAAATTCATATCTTACAGACAATGTCCCAGACACCACCATCACCATCCCTGGATATATCCTGTCTCATCGGCAGGACAGACCCAGCAGAGGTGGTGGCACAGTGGGATACAGTCGGGAGGGAGTTGCTCTGGGAGTCCTCAGCATTGACTCCTGACCCCATGAAGTCTCATGGCTTCATGTTAAACATGGGCGAGGAAACCGCCTGCTGATTACCAGGTACCATTCTCCCTCAGCTGATGGATCAGTACTCCTCAATGTTGAACAACACTTAGAGGAAGCACTGAGGATAGTAAGAGCACAGAATGTACTCTGGGTGGGGGATTTCAACATTGACCACTAAAAGTGGCTCAGCAGCAGTACTACTGATCGAGCTGGTCGGGACATAGCTGCTAGACTGGCTCTACAGCAGGTGGTGAGGGAACCAACAAGAGGGAAAAACATACTTGGCCTCATCCTTACCAACCTGTCAGCTGCAAATGCATCTGTCCATGACAGTATCGGTAAAAGTGAGCATGGCACCGTCCTTGTGGAGATGAAGTTCCACCTTAACATTGAGAATAACTTTCATTGTGCTGTGTGCCACTATCACTGTGATAAATGGGACAGACTTTGCACAGATCGAGCAACTCAAGACTGGGCATCTATGAGATGCTGTGGGCCATCAACAGCAGCAGAATTGTACTCCAGCACAATCTGTAACCTCATGGCCCACCATATCCCCCACTCAACCATTACCATCAAGCTAGGAGATCAACCCTGGTTCAATGGAGAGTGCCGGAGGACATGCCAGGAGCAGCGCCAGGCAAACTAAAAATGAGGCACCAACCTGATGAAGCCACCAAACAGGACTACTTGCACGCCAAACAGTGAAGCAGGAAGTGATAGACAGAGCTAAGCGATCCCACAGCCATTGGATCAGATCTAAGCTCTGCAGTCCTGCCACATCCAGTTGTGAATGGTGGTGAATAACTACCTGGAGGAAGAGGCTCCACTAATATCCCCATCCTCAATGATGGAACAGCCCGGCACATCAGTGCAAAAGATTAGGCTGAAGTTTTCAGAGCAATCTTCAGCCAGAAGTGCCGAGTGGATGATCCATCTCGGCCTCCTCCAGTGGTCCCCAGCATTACAGATACCAGTCTTCAGCCAATTCGAATCACTCCATGTGATATCAAGAAATGGTTGGAGGCATTGGATACTGAAAAGGCTTTGGGCCCTGACAACACTCAAACTGATGGGAGTCACACTTTGCACGTAGGAAGATGGTTGTGGTTGTTGGAGATCAGTCATCTCAGCTCCAGGACATCTCTGCAGGAGTTCCTCAGGGTAGTGTCCTAGGCCCAACCATCTTCAACTGCTTCATCAATGACCTTCCCTCTATCATAAGGTCAGAAGCGGGGATGTTCACCGATGTTTGCACAATGTTCAGCACCATTTGTGATTCCTCAGATATTGAAGCAGTCCATGTTCAAATGCAACAAAAATCTGGACAATATCCAGGCCTGGGCTGACAAGTGGCAAGTGACATTCACACCACACAAATGTTGGGCTATACCATCTCCAAAGCAATCTAACCACCACCGCTTGACATTCAATGGTGTTACCATCACTGAATCCCCCACTATCAACATCCTGGGGGTTACCACTGGCCAGAAACTCAACTGGGTTTGCAACATAAATGCAGCGACTACAAGAACAGACCAGAAGCTGGGAATCCTGCGGTGAGTAACTCACCTCCTGACTCCCCAAAGCCTGTCCATTATCTACAAGACAAGTCAGGAGTGTGATGGAATACTCCCCACTTGCCTGGATGGGAGCAGCCCCAACAACACTCACGAAGCTCGACACCATCCAGGACAAAGCAGCCCGCTTGACTGGCACTACATCCACAAGTATTTAATCCCTCCACCACCGACGCTCAGTAGCAGCAGTGTGTACTATCTACAAGATGCACTGCAGAAATTCACCAAAGATCCTTAGACAACACTTTCCAAACCCATGACTACTTCTATTTTGAAGGGCAAGGGGAGCAGATACATGGGGACACCACCCCCTGCATTTCTCTGAGCTCTAAATTTTGCTCAGCTGCACAAAATAAACACTGCCTATGGGCTTCCCCCTTGCTCTCAGCTGCACTGATAGATAAAATGGCTTTGTCTGAGGCCTATCAGCTCCTAACACGTTTACTGTGCTCTACCCCAAACAGTTAGCTGACTCCCTGTATTCTTCTGGGTCCTAGCAGCTGGGAGCCATCTGCCAGTGTGAGATTGGGACACCTGTCCCAGTGCATTAGAATGCGGCCACTGTATTAATATCCCAGCGACATTGTCAGCTCCCCTCATTATCGTAACACCATACCATCTATGGACCTATTAAATGTTTAATTCCAACTTTGACAATATACCATTAACATAAAATTTAGGAAAAATAGAGATTTACAATTTGTTATGCTCAGCTCTTGAAAGTTTCCCCCATTTTGTTTCACTGATGTGTAAATATTGAACCCACACTGTGGAGTGAATGCTAGTTTTCAGGGAATGCTGTCACCTGGACACAATGGGAAATGACCATTGTTCCGTCCTCCTCCAGAAACAAGCAACAGACAATAAAACACAGAGAAACCTTCGAAATGTCTCTCCTCTCACTAGACGAGGGGTCGATGATGTCGCTGATACAATGAACTAACCAATGGGAATGATGTATGTGATCAGTTTCCTGTTGCCTGATCTCAGGGCCACGGCTGGGAAGGAGAAGTAGGAAAGTGGAATTTCTTCAAACTCATTGCAAACCATCAACAAATGGAATCCATAGCCTAATTGGTGTTCACTGCAGTATAGAGAAGGAGCAGGGAGAGTGCACTGACACTGATCCTGAAGAATAGTCCTCAGGGGCAGGACATTGAGACATTGCTCTGGAATTTTACATTACATGACACAGATCAGAATGTACAGTCAGCCCATACTCATCAGCAACTAGAGAGAAACCAAACGGAACCCACATCGATAGACCTCGAATAGTTAAATAAATATGAAAATGACATACACAAAACAACAATATTGACATCTTTACCAAAGATATCAACAATGAAATCTGATTGATCAATCAGAATATTGAACAATTGTCAGAACCAAACGCTTACTGTGTTAATGAAAACAGAAACTCCTGGAGAAACTCAGCAGGTCTGGCAGCATCTGTGGAGAGAGAAACAGAGCTAACATTTTGAGTTTGGGATGGTTTGCAAAACACTCCTGACTTGTTTTCAGTTTTGCTGAAGAGTCACTGGATTTGGAACATTAACTCTGTTTCTCTCTCCGCACAGATGCTGCCAGACCTGCTGAGTTTCTCCAGCGCTCTCTCTGTTTGTTTCCAAATCTTCAGCATCCACCTTTCCTAAGTTTAAAGTCTTTGTGGATCCAATAAAGCAAGGGTTAAGAATTCTGGGGAGCCTGTGCACAGTCAGCAAAGCTTAACTGAGGGTAAATGTTGCTATTTCACATCCCCCCTCCCCTCCCCTCCCAGTGACTAATGTCTGGAGGGTTAATAGCGATTGTAACACCTCATTTCATCAGATCCTGCAAGCTGTGATTGGCTGTGATTAGGGCAGGGTCTGAAATCCAGGAGGATAAGTTTCCAGGGGGTGAGCACTGCTCAGACACTGAGACTGATCTTTCTTCTCCAGCACAGATTAGCCCATTCACAGCTGGAAAGGACTTTGTGTCAGATCCTATTTGACTCCAGTGATCTCTGCATCTTCCTGAAGTGGTGAGGTAACGAGAGAAATAAGTTATTCTCCTTTATGTTATGTTTATTCAAGTACAATAACTGAATTACTGAAATGTCAATTTAACAGTTTGAGAAATGTTCACTGATGCTTTATCTTTAAAGAAAGAACTGAAAGTATTTGTAATCTTTTGTAACAAAAACAACATTCAATAATTGCTTTCAATATTTAAACTGAACTAAAATAATTGTTAAAAGGTTTCTGTGCCATAGTGACTGCCTGTGTTTTGAAGATTGCCTCAGGAAAAGGATTTTTGTTTGTCATCATAAAAGGTTGTTATCACTAAAACTCTCAGTCAAAATATTTGGAAATATTCCTGAACTTAATTAGAAAAATGCATTTGTCAACTGTCAGGGATTGTTTAATTTGTGCATCTTTTCATTGATCTTTAGGCTGTGATAGAACATTTTTGGGAAGTTTAAAAATCACCTGGAGCATTTGTAGGAAATGTAGATAGTAACTGTCAGTGGTAACTCTGAACTGTCTCTGGCGCTGTCTGGATTAACTGCGATGTGGAGGAGCCGGTGTCAGACTGGGGTGGACAAGGTCAGGTTATAGTCCAACAGGTTTTGGTGTCGTGTGATTTCTGATCTGGTTTAACTCTGATGGATGGTTCTGTTCCCAGTCGTGGGTTTTACCATCTCTGTTCAGAGGTTATCGTTCAGCTGCTGTGATTTACCTGTTGCACACTGAGCAGTAATATTGGGCTGAACTAATTCTCCACAATATTTATACAAATATTTGTACATTGTATTTGTACAAATCGCTCCATGGTTCCTGACCTGGCTGATTAATCTCATAGTATCCAGCAGATGGGAAAGGCAGGACCTCATCGATATTTAAACAGGAGATTCTTACTTTAGTTATGACACACTTTGCTACAATTTTCTTAAACTTGCTGAAGAATTCTACTCTTGGGATTTCAGTGGCAAACCCAAATGCGTTAATTCTTTGTGAAATATTTTTAAGAGGATTAATATGCACAAGTAAATATTTATAATTTAAAAGGGAATTCTCAGCTGAATACAGCATAACATTTTGATTTATTTAACAGAGCACACCTTGGTCGGAGTTTACATAAAAATATCCTTTCAGACAGTGTGCAATTTCTCTTATCTATACTTTTATTTGTTCCCATTTTGAACTATACAAATCTTGTCGACCTGATAGTAATAAGGATTTTAGTCTCAGGTTTGACATCATTTGTAGGATCTTTGACCTGGAACATTGCGTTTTTTCTCCATCAATGCTGCCTACCAATGCTGAATTTCTCCAGACTTTCTGTCATTCTCATTTCAGATTTCCAGCATCTGCAATGTTTCTCATTTTATATTTGAATCTCCCTCCCTCCGCAGCAGAGAGTCTTTTATCCTATTCCCCGCTTTCTTTCCTTTTCTTCCATCAATGCGTTATCATCTTGTTGGCGAACACCTTCCTTGTCATCTCAAGGCAGTCTGTTGTAGCATTGAGGACAGGGTCATTGTAATAGTGAGGGTCTATTCGGATCACACAAGAGATGGATATTGAAGAAAGGGCTTTGCTAGGAGTTGAGTTTCCACTTTGGCATCAGTTGAGAAGTTGGGTATAAAATGTTCTCAAAATTGCTTTGGTTTCAGTAACTGTTTAAATTTCCTTGAATCTTTGCATAATATCATGTATAAAATTCCCCATGAGCCAGCAGAGTAGAGAGCATTATTTGTTTATTTTTCTTTAACTTAGTGAACATTCCTTTAATAACTGGGGTGGTTTTATCGAGTGGGTGGAAAGTGAGGTAGTCACAGAAAGTAACCTTTATTCCTGAGAGTGTTTCGTCCCCCTCACTGTGACTAACCTGTGTGAATGTTTCTGGAAATGACTTTTTTTGTAACTTTACTCAGTTACTTCACATTCCCACTACTGTGCACCAGGCAGTTAGTTTGGAAGTTTAACAAATGCTTACACGGGTAACACTGTTAAAGGTGCTGCAGGGAACGTGAACGCATTGGGAAGGGAGTTCTCGAACTGAGACAATCTGTAGATTGTGTGGGATTAAGCTGGGTCTGCAGTTGGTTTTTCCAATGAATTCAGATGATTCCATGTGGATTTGAGGTGGAAGCCCCCAGGTTAATATCTCAGCATCTAGTCTGCCTTGATGTAAGCTGGTTTGTAAGTCATGATCCACCCGACAAGTGCAATGGGAATTAGGCTTGAAGTATTTAAATCACCGTGTTTGAAGATGTTATAACACAACAACTTCAAGTGGCACTTGAACCCAGACCCCAGCCCACACGTAGTGACACTACTACCACACCACAATACCCTGATGAAATTAGATTCAGTACAGGGAATATGTCCAAGAATAGATAAATTTATTCCGATAATTGGAGAGGTGATAGCCTAGTGGTATTATTGCTAGATCTATTAATCCAGAGACCCTGGTAATGTTCTGGGGACATGGGTTTGAATTGTATCATGGCAGATGGCAGAATTTGAATTTGATAACAAACTAGAAATAAGAGTTTAATAATGACTATGAGGCAATTGTTAGGAATAAAACTGATCTAGTTCACCATTGTCCCTTGGGGAAAGAAACCACCATCCTGGTCTGGCCTATATGTACCTCCAGGCCCACAGCAATGTGGTTGACTCTGGACTGCCCTCTGGGCAAATAGGGATGGGCAATTGCTGCTGGTCTAGCCAGAGACACCTGCATCCTGTGGATGAATTAAAAAAAAATTATTAAATGAATATTACGAGGCTATCCCCTAACAGGACTGAACTGGTTCAGAGTTCAACTCCTGGTCTCAGTTATCTCCAGAGCTGTGGGTCACTTTCATTAACACTTTCCAATGATGTTGTTAATTGATTAACGTTACCTACAGCAACTCGTTATCAGTGAGTTTTAATCATAAATTTATTTCTTTTCTCTTACAGTGCGAATTAGTTCAAAATTACACATGTCTTCTACATAAACTTTACCATCACAGGAAAGGAGACCATTCAGCCCAACACCATTTATTGGTGCTATCTTTTTAGACAGAGCTGTCTAAACTGATCCCATTTCTCTGCTGTCTCTCCATATTCTTTAATACCTGACCTTCCCCCTCTGTGTCAGTCCCCACTTCTGGTAAAATGCCACGTTGTAACAAGCTGTTGGGTGAACAAGAGAAACTCTGTAAAAACCAGACAGGCCCATGTTGTTGTGTCAGGAATGTCCCCGGGCCTGGGGAAAGGAGGAGAGGGGAGAGCGAGGGAAACCCCTTGTAGGGAACATCCATGTGGAACCCTGGGGTCAAACACGGGCTGTGCAGAGAAAGAGCCAGAGTGCCCGAGCACATTCTCAGTAGGTTTTGCCCCTCATGATGCCCAGGCTCACTCTGTAAGGCAGAGGGAACTAAAGCTGAAGGCAGTTATTGTGTGATCTGAGGGTGGAAGGGATGTTTATTTGTTTGCCTGTTCCCAGGCAGAGACTGGAACAGCTTCCTCTTCTGCTGTTCAGAAACACAAATTAGACAGGGCTGATCCCAACCACTAAACCCAGCACAGGCAAAGCTTACCACGGCCTGAGCATTCCTATTCCAGAGCTCAGTGGGCGGTATTTAATTAAGGCTATTGGAAGTGTGCATGTTGGCAGGGAGGGAATGGGCTGGTTCTCAATGAAACATCCCACCTCATAACAGTTGGATAGTTTTAGGGTTAAAGGCTTCAAAGGGAATGCGGAGAAAGTAGAAACAAGGGACTGAGTTGGATGATCAGCTGTGTTCCTGTTTAATGGTGGAGCAGGCTCAAAGGGCTGAATGGCCTACTCCTGCTGCTATTTTCTATGTTTCAATGATGTTGGGTCCCTCCATCAGGCACCTTAACACCAACCCCCGCACCGCACCCCCCCAACCCCCCCGAGCAGTGTGTTTAATTTTGGGCAAGTAAACTGCAGTGCCTAGTCCACCCACCATCCCATCACCATTCCCCAATCTGTCTCCCATTTTCCAGCAATGGGGCATGGAGGGGCTGGTGGTGGGCATGGAGACGTCTAGTGGGCTTGGGTCTTTTAGCGGGTTTAAATGGTGGGATAATAAACAATTCCCTGAGAACAATCCTGCACCGAGAGTTTGGGAGTATTCTCCCGCCTCTCCCAGTTGTCCTATTCCTAAAGCAGAGGAGAGTCTAGTGGGTTCTCTCTGGTCGATAGAATGAATGCACATGGTCTCAGTATGAGCTTAGTCCAGCCACTTTCAGATCTTTCAAATGGTCCACCCTCAACACCACAACAGGAGGTTTCTGCTCCTCGCTGTCTGGTTGCTTGTTGTAGCTCTCCTGTTGATGGTGCTGCACCCACTGAGGGGGTCATAGGGCACTGAGGGAGGTGCCAGCTGGATTTGAAAGGAGGGCACCAACACGGTGACCAGACTCCCTCTTTGGTTCCAGGACAGAACTCGATTCGATCTGCACTCTGTATCCTGAAGGAATGGTGTTGATGAGCTGGGCAGTACTTGATCCCAGGCTGCACAGTCTTGTGGTGGGAGGAGGATTATGGTTCTCAGAGTGGATTGGACACAAGTTGATTTGCAAACATTCCAGAATGAGGGGAAACTGCATCCAGTAATTGTGTATTATCAGATCCCCCAAGATCCTGTCCATAATTAGCCTGAAAAGTAAAAAATTTCTACAGTGGTTTTACAAACTGCAACACACTTGGCAATTGGTTGATGGATAAGAAAAGAGAAAGTTGCGAGGGAACGTTTTATCTTAAATCCATTCTACTTTAGGTTGTGTGTAATGGGTTATAACATGATTCCAATTTTCTTTTTGTTTAAGCTGAGCTGTTGTCTCCACCAGAATGTGTAAGATATCAGACACAGGCACTTTGCCTGAACAAAGACCTTCCTAAAACCAGGGGACATCAGAAAGATACAGAGATAGTAGGAACTGCAGATGCTGTATCTATCTGAGATAACAAGGTATAGAGCTGGATGAGCACAGCAGACCAAGCAGCATCAGAGGAGCAGGAAGGCTGACGTTTCG